TGTTTAGAACACCGTTGACCAAGAACACTGCCTCTGTTGGGAATGATTCAAGTGCTGACTTAATGTGCAGCACTCAAACAAATCAGTTTCTTTTTGCTGAGATCTACGTAGCTTTGCCTCCATAAACGAGTATTTTGTTCCTGAAAAGTATTATGTTATCAAACAGCAGCTTTATCATCACTCATTTGTTTTTGGATGAAAATATCTGCTGCTGATTGCTGGATTTGATCAATGCAGTCCTAATATGACCTCTCGGTCTTCAATGTAGCGTTGCATTAAAGCTGTAAACTTCATATTGAACACTGCTTTGACTGCAAGGTCTCAGAGAATGAGTCTGCAGCACCATCTTGTGTTTTTATTAAAAATGTTCAATACTGAGAGGTAATGTGATGGAAATCATTGCAGCTGTAATTAAAAAAATGTCATGATCAAGTTATTTTGGGAGTTTCCTGTTTGACCGTAGGATGCATGCTATAATGTGGTGATGTATGCAGATATTGAGCTCAAATCTGGTGTGGTAGTAGAGGAGAGTCATTCTAAACTCAAACTTTCAGTTCTAACATGCTGCATGAGAACTTTGTATAAAACGTTACAAAAGGTCACAATGCATTCCTTTAATTCAATATGCATTCCCACCTCTGAATCTTCAATCAATCTAAGATATTTGTTTAGTTTTAACCACTGAGATCATGTTCATTTCTTGTAAAAAAAAAAAAAAAATGTCTTCTCATGAAAGAATGCATGTCACCCGCCGACTTTAAGCCAAAACTTTTGTCTAAGATCCTGTTGTGTTGAAAAATGATGACACTGGTCAAACCTTGAAAACAACATTTTGTCCAGATCTGTATCTTTGGGTTATTTTTTGATAGCTGTTTTATGATTTTTAGTATCTGTTACCTTTTTTTTTTTTTTTTGGTTTGGTTTGTTTTGTTTTTTTTCTTCTTCATTTGTAATGTTTGTGATGGACTTGCGACCCGTCCAGGGTGTACCCCGCCCCTCGCACAGTGATTGCTGGACATGGGCACCAGCGACCCCCGTGACCCAAAAATGGAATAAGCGGGTAAAGATAATGGATGGATGGATGGATTTGTAATGTTTACTTTCTCTGTTTTTCCTTGTGTTCATCACCTTCGGTACTTTTCCACAGGCAGCTTCTGCTCCTCCATCCTGCTCCTTCCACTCGTACGAGTTTCTTCCTTCAGTATTCTTCGCTCTGCAGACTGCTGTTGTGCTTCAGGCCTGTCCGACTCCTCTGTGTCTGCTCGAGTTTCGCTTTGTTTTCTTGTTATTAAGGAACTTTGGCTGTGGCAGCCATCTTGAGCTAGGCTGACTCCCAAAGTTAACATGTTGTAGATGTCCAGACATTGTTTAATTTTTGAGAGTTTTATTAAATATATGCAGTGGTTTATGGGATGTTTTTGGAACAGACAGCATAGTCAAAGACACACACACACGGGGAAAAATGTGATTTGCAAGCAATGAAACCCCCCTGCAGACTGCACTCTAGTAGAATTATATGTTGTGCACTTTTTATGTTTGGTATAACATTTGCAATGCTGGAATTTAATTTCAAATGCTAAACAAAAAATAAAATAAAAATCTAATGTTACACTTGCAGTTTGCATGTTTGAGTGCATAAAAGAAACGATGTGCAAATGTTCACAACATGAACCATCTATATCAGTGGTCTTAAACTCAGGCGAGGTCCATCTAAAGAAATCGGTCTGCAGTAAAAGTCCAAAGTGTTTATATTTAAATTTTATTTTAGTGTATTTAAATTTTATTTTTGTGACAGCCATGCTGTTTTATTTTGTTTGTTGGTTTTCAGTCACCACATTGTCCTTTCAGGCCTGTGCCTTTCTGTGGGGTGGCAGCAGAAAGAAACTACAGGCCAGACCTGGGAATTATTGTAAATGCTAGAAAAGATGTCATGCAAAAGGAATTACCAGAAAAATGTTGGCAAGTAAAAAGAAAAGTTTAAAAAAGTTTAGACTATGCTGAAATTTAAGCTCAGATCAGGGTCCAGGTAAGACTTTATCTAATCAGGATGTCGATTCACCTGTAGGGAACCACTGATCTGTATGAATAACACACATGTAGCTAAAATACAACTTAGAAGTTAATAATGAGCCCATCATCAAGTTATGAACAGATTAAAAAAAACTATAAAACTATATTCCCATTGAAAAGAATAAGTATTTTCTCACTGAGTGATTACAACTTTGATGGGGTAATTCAAAGATTCAAGGTTCGTTATTTGTCATTCGAACCACATGTGGTACATGTGGTGGAACGAAATTATGTACACAGGGTCCCAGTTACATCCAACAATAAAATGTAAAAGAAAAACAGCAATAAGATCTAAGATATGAACCAAGAAAAACATCAACTAAATATACACTAAGCACCAGTAGCATAAAAACATTACGCCGAACAGCAGCACGAACATGAGTCTGTGTGAGCATATGAGCACGCATGAACACATCAACATGAAACGGATCAGCAGCAACATGAAACAGATCAGCAGCAACACGATGTGATTTTTTTCACGGTGATTATTCTGGTTAGATACTCATGAGTCTAACAGCCTCAGGGTAGAAGCTGTTCCTCAGTCTAGTGGTTCTACACTTAATGCTCCTTAACCTCCTCCATGAGGGGAGCAGGGCAAAAAGTGTGTGTGCTGGGTGAGTGAGGTCCTTCATGATGCAGGTGGCCCTCTTCCTGCATCTGGAGGTGTAGATGTCTGTGATGGTGGGGAGACTGACTCCAACAGACTTCTGTGCAGCCTTCACCACTCTCTGCAAAGCTTTTCTTTCTGCAGCTGTGCAGCCTCCATGCCACACGTTGATGCTGGAGCACAGGATGCTCTCCACTGCAAAGGATAAACTAGTAGAATATGCCACAATGGTCAGTTTAGTAGCCAGATTTAGTCGTTTTCATCGTTACAAATAAAATCCATGGCAGAAAAACTCTCAAACAGATAAACATTTCTGACAGCTGCAGTGAAAGTCGGGAACACATTATGGAAAAACAAATCCATCCTTTGGTGCATAGGTCCCAGGCTTCAGTCAAGCTCTGCAACGTTCCAACAGCAAACATTTTATTCATGCTGATGTTCCATTTTCCAAACCCCCTGAAAAATATGTCTACTAACTTTTCAATATTCCTCCCAGTTTTGAGTTCAATAATTCACCATAGTATTGCTGGCAAAATCATAGAAATGTAACTTAAAAATGATTTCAGTAATGAGTTGCTGTTAAAGGTTAATACTCACTGACATTTTCATTCAATTTTTTTTTTTTTTCCTCAAGATGATGGAAAACTTTTTTTGTTGCTCTGCATGGCGGTCATTCACTTTCAGAGTCAAACATGACCTTCTCCCATGGTTGCTATCAGTGCTTCAATAAAATTTTGAACCGTTCACAGATTTGTATAGTTGTGTGGTCAAGACCAAAGTTTTCCTCTTATGTAAGTTTGCCTAAATTGCAACAGCTGCACAAAAACTATTGATTTTCACGCAGGTTGGTCCATGTGTTGTTGACTCTCTGACAAAGGTCAAACATTTTCCTTGCATCTGCAGCAACTCATTCCTCAAAGTCCAGCTGTCTAAATCACAAACCACAAAATTTAAAGTTCAGAAAAATGTGGCTCCATTCAAGCATTGTCACAATTCCTACTTACCAAACCGCTTTTAATAAAAGGTGAAGGGGGTGGTATGGAAATATACTTTAACCCTTCAAATAACATATGCAGTTGTGTTCAAAAGTTTGCATCCACTCACATAGATGTCAATGTGAATTAGGTGTTTTTGTTATTTAAACTGAACAATCATTCTTTCTTGGTAAACCAAAAAAAGTCCCCGCCGCACATTCAAGCGCAACTGAAATCTGTAGATGACCTCATGCACAAACCAAAATGTGTTCTGGAGAAAGCTCGTATGATCAAAGGAGACAAAGATTGAGCCACAGTGCTACAAAGTATATTTGGAGGATTCAAGATAATGCTTTCAAACATGAGAACACTGTAACAACTGTCAGGTCGCATCAAGCTGTGATGCAGTGCACAAAATGGATACAAGCAACCGAGCAAAGATCCCAAAAAACACACATCAGAGCCGGTTTCTGACTTGAAAAAGCATTCTGGCATTGGGCTTTTAGAATAATCTCTCCAAAACCCTGACGTCACCCCGTCTGAGAAGTTGTGAAATATGCTTAAAATGGCTTCGTACCAGGAACTAACCACTTTTAAATTCCAACTGGTGAGGTCAAATATCAGAGAGTTATGCCAGATGCTTATTGGGAGCATGTAGTTGAGATGCAATTTGCAAGAATTTAAGAATACAACAAATTCTGATGCATCATGGGCAAAATACAAAACTATGAGGGACAATTCAAGTCTTTTTGTGCAGCACTTTTACCGTTTTATTGTTTTTGCTCATTGTACAGAAGCACCACCTCTTTTATTTTTTGTAACCCTCATAATTGCTGTGTTAAGCAAAGATCGCCAACAAAACCCAGCATGACTAAGAAGATAGAATATGATCCACTCAGTTGATTAGTTGATGTTTGTGCGAGGGTATGTGTTGACTGAAGATATGATAGATATGAAGAGTCTGCACAACCCACTTTTAATGATTTATCAATATCCAGAAGGATCTGATTTATTGTAGACATTCACTAAAGCTTTACAGTTTTCTGTAACCCTGTCCTTGATTAACCAAACTCTGAGCAAAGTGTAGATTGTGACTTGCTGCCCCCTGATTGTCCCGATTGATCCCGAACAGGAGAGTTGAACTGCAGGGCAGATAACTTCATTGTGCAAGTTTGGACAGTAGCTGATTGGTTGGTCAACCGATAGGACGCATTCTTAGACATGAGGGATGGAGCGGGGTCGAGGGTTATATTTACCTTGGATGAAGGGAGGGGGCAGTTGTTTTGTGAGTGGATATGAAAGTCATTGTGAGTGCGCACCAAGCGTCTGAGGCAGAATATAAAAGGTCATCATTTCTCCATCTGCTATCGCTCTTACCAGGCTGCGTGTGAGAGGACGAGGGCCATTGTGTCGGGCTGAGACAAAGTCAAAAACAGGCCTTTACAATGAGGACTTGTGTTCTCTTGTTGCTGGTGCTGGGGTGTGTCTACGGTGCCCCCGTGGATCATGGCCTGGAGTCGGGGTCGTGTGACGATCCAGCAGCAGTGAGCGCTGCACATTTGGCTCTCGGCAAGATCAACTTGGATCGGACCGAGGGCTACATCTTCACCCTGCACCGCCTGGCCAATGTCCACATGGCCAAACATGTAAGTTGAGCCACATGAGACCCCCCCCCCTACCCCTCAATTATGTTTATTTACCAAGTGCATCTTCTTTGATCAGCTTAAATTTTAATCTGAGAATCCAGACATTTAAAATTGCAAAGTGGTGTAGAGATCCAAAAACATGAAAACATCCTTAAAAAAAATAATCAATTCCATTACTGAATGTCCAGGTTTTTTCTTTGAAAATGTAAAGCGTAATGTAAAAAAAAAAAATAAAATACAAATGCAATAGTCTGTTAGAGTCCAGAACCAGAACATAAACATTAAAAAGACATATTGCTTTGTTCGGATAACGGAGTGTTTCTAATGATTTGTCAGCTGGCAAATGCACATCTGTTATGACTCAGTGAAGCATGTGGAGATGATCCACACCAAGCAGTTGTCATGGAAACTTCAGTACAGCATCATAAAAAAGATTTTAGAGCTGCATCTTCTGTTTAGACACAATTGCAAAATTTCCTACATTTTCCAGTTAGATATGAGTGTTATAATTTGAAAGTTTTTATTTATTATTATTATTATTCAACAGAGGTAAAAATTAAACACTGACAAACATATTGTGTGTGTGTTTGTGTAACAGGAAGAGGTCGGCGTGGTTTACTACCTGACTCTGGATGTTGAAGAGACTAGCTGCAGCGTGGTCAGCAGGAAGGACTGGAAAGAGTGTCAGGCTCGTTCCACCACTGAGGTGCCGGTAAGCAGACGTTTTTAAAAGCCTCACATGGGAACAGAAGCAAATATAACATTAGTTTTATATAAATGAACCCATCTTTTAGGTATCCTATTCAGCAGAAGTAACACAAAACCTTTAATGTCAAAACACCTGCCATTTTCACTCTGCTCATCTCAAAAGACACATTTTTGCTGCACGTATGTGCTAGGTAGGTACAGAAGCAGAAGACGAGTAAAGCTGATCCACTAGGCCTCTGAGCTAGCAGTAAGGGTATATGTGGAGCTGAAGTGGCATGTTTGAGGCAATCATGGTGCTGCACACAACCCATAATAATCCACTGTCACTCATGTATGTCTGCAAAGGCGCCCAGTTGCCCAGCTTGGGCTATAAAACTTGTAAAGCGTGCCAGAAAAGAGCCCAAAGCCTATGTAGCAGAGGTTATCGATGCCACAAAAGACCGCTAAAGCCAATTTGAGAGGGAATTAGCTTCCAGTTTCTGTAGTGTGTTAAGCAATGCGTCAAAACGGGAAAAAAATATAATAACTTTAAAGGTTAAAAACGAATCAAAATAGCTAAAGACAACTAGATGCAATGAGACAGTGCATTTATTTTTATATGAATCATATAGCTACTGTGGAACTTCCATCTGTCCTATTTATTCTTGGTTTTCCTCGAAGTTCTATTCTTGATTACCATAATGGGTTTTTTTAGTAGGTAGAGCAACCTAAACCCCTTACATAATTAGATGTGATACTGTGCTGACATCTTTGTTTACTAAAAAACACGAGTGAGTCATCCATAAACCATCCATCCATCCATCCATTATATTTACCCACTTCTTCCTTCTAGGGTCTCAGGGGTCACTGGTGCCCATGTCCAGCCATCACTGTGTGAGAGGCGGGGTACAACCTGGAAAGATTTTCAGTCCATCACAGGGACACATGGAGACTAGCAACCATTCACTCTCTCACTCACACCTAGGGACAATTTAGAGTTACCAATCAGTCTAACATGCATGTTTTTGGTCTGTGGGAGAAAACCAGAGTACCTGGAGATAACATGCAAACTCCACACAGAAAGGTCCCAGGCCAGGTTTTGAACCAGCAACCTTCTCGCTAAGAGGCAACAGCTCTACCAACTGAGCCGCCAACCAACCACAAACACATTTCTAAATCAAGTTGTTGTTGTTTTTTTTTATCTGAGGCCAACGGGATTTGATGTGAAAATGGCAAACATTACTTTTGGGGTTGAGTGTGATTTAAAACAAATACCAAAGTTAAAGTTTTTGTTTTTAACTGAGCAACACAAATGTGAATTTTCTTGTCTTTGTGATTCCCTTCGCAGGTGTATGGACAATGCAAAGCTGCTATCTTCATCAGCAAACCTCACAGAGTGGTGCGTCTCTACAAATACAGGTGTCTCGTCAGACCAGGTATGAAAAATAAATATTCAAATGATAACTGAACCAAAGGGGGACAATGTACTTCTTATATTAAAGCATTTTGTTCTGCTTTCAAATTGCTCATTAATGCTTGTATTTATTTTAAGATTTGTCGTATGTCTAATTTAAATTAACTTTGTATCTGACTTTTGTATTGTTTAGCCATTTATCTAACCTACGTTATCCATCTTGGAGAAAATAAAAGGATGTAATACAAAATAGTGTTATGAAATAATGTTTTAATAATATCCTAACCTTTTGAATTTGCAGTATTTCATTGTTTTCAGCACTGCTGAACCATTTCTTGCCTCAATTAAAAAAAAAAGAGGCAGTGAAGCACCACTAGAGTTGCTCACTCTAAGCATAAATGAAAGCAGTGCACTTATCGAAAACACCATAAAGTTGACCCATTGGTGAGAAATTCTGAACAAGATGGTACGAATAGTAGGAAAGAAACACAAAAAACTACTTGATCTGCAGCTTGTCAAATTGACCTTTTTTTTTTTTTTTGTTGCAGTTAAAAAGATTTCCAAAAACGTGTTCATTCACTTTTTTTTTTTATTTCATTACTGCACAACTTTGTGATGAAAACTACATGAATATTTAACTACCACTTGTTGCTTTGCTCAGTTCCTGCTGCTCGCGTGACACAGATTTGTCCAGACTGCCCAACTTTGATCAACTTTGACAACGAAGAAATCCAGCAGACCGTGTCTATGTCACTGGAGAAGTACAACAATGAGAGTAACAACAACAATCGCTTTGCTCTGCTTCAGATCTCCCGCGCTTCTGCCGGTGTAAGTTTCCATCATGATTAAAATACACGCAAATGTCCTTGGAGGTTTTTTTTTTTTTTATGTTGACACCTGAGCAAAATGCAAAACATAAGGCGACTGAATCCCATTTAAGTTCCAAATCTAACAAATTCCATTCATCCATTATCGTCCACTTGTTCCAAAGTCGGGTAGTGGGGGCAGCAGCTTGAGCAGGGAGGTCCAGACATCTCTTTCCACAACCACCTCTTCCAGTTCTTCTGGGAGGGCCCCAAGGCGTTCCCAGATCAATAGAGTTGTAGTCTCTCCATCGTGTCCTGGGTCTTCCCCTGGGAAGTCGGACATGCCAGAAGCACCTCAACTGGCTCCTTTATATGTGGAGGAGCAACTGTTGTACTCTGGGTCTTTCCCGGATAACTGAACTTCTCACTCTCTCTAAGGGAGAGTCCAGCTACCCTGCGGAGGAAATTAATTTCCACCATCTGTATCATCGATGTCATTCTTTCGGTTACTACCCAGAGTTTGTGACCGTAGGTGAGGAACGTAGCCAAACCTGTAAACAGAGAGCTGTGACTTACAGCTTATCTCCCTCTTCACCACAACGGACCGGCACAGAGTCTGCAATACTGCAGATGCTGCACCAATCTGTCTGTCAATCTCAAGTCCCATTCTTCTCTCACTCGTGAACAAAACCCTGAGATACTCGAACTCCTCCACTTGAGGCAGAACCTCGACCTCAAGAGAGCAATCCACTCTTTTGACTGAGGACCATGGCCAGACACAACATTTTGTTATTGTTTTATCCCTTTTTAATCTTTTATTTTATTCCTTTTGTGCTTTTTTACTTGTCTGTAAAGCCCTTTGGTCCTGTATTTTTTAAATACTTTATACATAAAGTTGGATTGGATATCTGTTCATTACATAACGCTTATTAATTTTTTTTTCTCTGTCCATGTCAAGATGGGGATCAGCATGATGTACCATGTGGAGTACACCATTCAGGAGACCACCTGTGGCATACACACAAAGGGTGGGGCAGCTGAGAAGTGCCCATTCATGACTTGTGGGTTTGCAGTAAGTCTTGGCAATTCATTAGTTTTGATGTATGACCAAAGTGATTGGCTGTTTAAATACATGTAATCGGCATCTATTCTGAAATAAGTTGTAACTATATTGGTTTTAGTATGTATGTGTTCAGTGGTTAATTGCATCGATCTAGTTCTACTAAAAGTACTTTGAATATCCTCCAAGACATCTACAAATAGGCAAATACAGACAAAAACAGCCAGGGGAAATAAAATTTTATTTGTTCTATAATGGGATTATAGTGAGAAGATTTTTTTTTTTTTAATAATAAACTGTAAATAAAAACTCAAATTGTCCTCCTTTTAAAATTCCAGACAGGTGGTGATCAGAAAACTCAGTCATAACAGAAATGAATTAAAGATTGTTTATGTGAACAACAAAATACAGGCAAAGCCAATGCCATAAATATCTATAAATTCTTATGATTGTTTTTGTGTCCTATTTCTTCAGCATTTGGGCTTCTGTAAGGCATCCCACCACCATTCTCCCAGTGGGGAACAGATTTTCCAAGTAAAGTGTGAGATTTATGAGCCTGAGGTAAAACTCAAAAAGCATAATTTCTGTTTTCATTAATTCATTCAGGTTATTCCTGGTTTAATTTACTACAAAATATGTCCAAATTGTGTGTGTATTCTACAGGCTTCTAACAGAGAGAAGGCGCTACACCTGCTGGGTGACGCAACTAGCCACAGCCACAATGACTCGCACATACATGCTCCTGGTGAAGAGCACGGACATGGCCATGACCATGACCATCACCACCACGGCAAAGAGCATGGACAAGGCCACGGGCATGGCAAAGGACATGAACACAGCGATGAGCAAGGCAAAGGACACGGACACAGGCATGGCAAAGGACATGAAGGACACGATCACGGCCATTTTCATGGTGGCAGAAACAGGACATGCTCACATGGACCAAACAAGACGTGCTCACATGGCCATGGACACAGATTCGGACACAGACAACCAAGCCCACATGACCACATCCATGACCACACCAAGGACCACACCCATCATGATGAAGAGCATCTTTTAGGTAGCAATCACCACCACACACATGACCACAAACCAGGCAGTGCCTACAGGCATGCCCACGACCACTCTCACGACCACGGGATTGATGGAACCCATGATCACGTGCATGCGTACCATGCCCAGGCATATGACCACTCAGGTGACTCTCCCAACCATCACCATAATTACAGTCATCCTAAGGGCATGCACACACATGAGCATGACCACGAGATTGCACTGGACCACGACCACAAGCATGCTCACCTGCATGAGCATGAGCATCACCACCATCACCACACACATGATCATGAGGGTGAATACCATGACGAACCAGAGGGCATGGTGAAGAAGATTGAAGCCCTGGGCCATAACATTACCAAACCTATCTTCCCAGAACTCCCTCCACAGCCCGCCCTTCTGATCCTCAAGCCTGACCCGCAGATCCCAGGTGTGCCTGAACCCGGCATCCTGGGCTTCCAGGCCTTCCCAAACACAGCCTCGGCTGCGTGTCCCCCACCAGCTGCAGGAGAAAGCCTGGTGCAGAAACTCTTTGCTGAGGATGACTTGTTCAAGCCTGGCAACCATTTCTAAATGACAAACACAGACTTTCAGAAATGATTAAATTTAATACATTTGCATTTACCTCTCTCGTCATCAGTTTAATTTAAATTGACTGGTTCCTCTGGTCATTCATTACCTGTAACTTTTCTTTTGTCTCACAATTTAATAAAGACAAAGATTATTTAAAAACAATTTCTCTATTTTGTCTGGCTGGGGCATTTTGTTCAGAAATGACTAACTAATACAACCACAGAACTGGTCCATTGATGTGATCCATCTAATAACGTCCATGTTTTCAATTGTGGAGTAAAAGTATCTAACGATATTCAGTTGAGCTCTTCTACAACCAAAAGAGTAACTCAGATATTTTAGACACCTGACATTTTGAAGTGTAGAATTAAAGCTCTGTAATTATTCAATAAATAAGTGTAAATAATGTAAATATAAAGCAGGGCGTCATTGTTCATCCAAAACAAACTTACAGTCTAACTATCAAAGGAAGCAAATCCTCTTTTAACAATGGGATTGAATTTATGACATAAGGATGACTGAGGTTCAACCAGTTTCAATTACTTGGTTAACTTTTACTGGTGCGATCTCAAATCAGACAATTTGAACTACAACGATATGTCCATAAATCAAATGTGTCTATGAAATTTGATTTGAGAACATGTATATAAACTTTAAATACATTGTTAGATTATCAAAATAAATGTGGATGTTAAACAATAAAAACCTTTGAAGTTATGGTATGATTATAATTATTCTAAGTTAAGGTAAGAGAAAAAACTGTAACACTTTAACTAATTTTAGGCTCAGATCAAAGGTTTTAAATTTGAGCAAAAAGACCATGACTGTAGGTGGAGATTAAAGATGGTTAAAGTGGGGAAAATGAAGAATTTGCAAAGCTTGAAATAAGAGCAATTCCAGGCCAAATACTAAAATCATCAACCTTTTCATTATCTTGGTACTTTATGTTTTGTTTTAGTTAAGTGCTTTATAAATCCAGCTGGTTTGGATTGGAAAAATCAAAAGTCTAAAAGTGCCATAGAAGATAATTACTCTATGAGAAACTACATTTTCAGACCCACTTTGTATTTTTTGTTTTGTATACCTGATTATACACTTAGTGCCTCTTTTTGCAGGACTATGTACCAGTAAATACATTGCAACACTCTGCATATAAATCACATAAAAACAACTCATAGCTAAGACAAATAACCTAAAAGCATGAAACGAAGTCTAAAAATAAAACTTTTGTGTGACATCCTCTTCCCCAAACACCAAAATCTCATGTTCCAACTTTTCCCACACTAAAAAAAAAGCTCTGTATCTTGCTGCCACACTACCATCTAGTGGTAAAATCTTGTTTAATTTATGTAACTGACTTCTGCAGCCACATTAAAATGCAGAAGTAAGACAAAAACAATGTTGACAAATGAACGCTTATATTCAATTTAAAATGCCCAGTTGATAATATTTGTTGTTTTGAATATATTTTAGCAACATTTAATATTTTTATTCAATAAAATACTCTGTGGAGTCATCAACAAGCTCCTAAAAAGCAAAGCTTTAATATAGTTTAGATCCAGACACAGCAGAGGCTTTAAAACTGGCTAATCTATACTCAGTATGTCTGTGGGTGTTATTTTTGTGGACTTTTACTGATGAAATCAGGTTTACCGACTCAGCAAAAAGCTCTTATCTTTACGTCTGGATCAAGTCCCATTTAGTTACAAAATTGACAAACAAACTTTGGCAGATATTGATTCGTTGGGTAAAGGTTGAAGGTTGCATAAATGCAATAAATAAATAAACTAACCACACGCACTTTTAACTGTATGTTTTACTCAACAAATCTGAGCATAAATGCAAACCACCACATCAAACTTGTCAGTTTTCTCCAACCTAAAAGGCTCTTCCATGGAGCATTGCTGTCCTATTTTCAGTCACTTCATCTGTTTTTGTAAGTACACAAACCTGGTCGTTACCAGAAAAAGTAGTGGGTCACAGCTGAGGCAAAACCTAAAAATGTCATGATTGTGAGCTAAATGCTGAGAGTGAGTGAACAATAACTGAAACAAAATGCCACTTGTTCTCCAAAATTAAACCTAAGAAAGAAAATAAAATGACTGGTGGTGATTTTAGCCTGGCCACAAAATTTGTATTTACCTATATAATAAACATTAACAAGTCATACCCTGCATGCAAAATATATTAGGTTTGGTTTATTTGTCATATGTAAAATTGACAATATCAAGAATAAAATGGAATGCTCAGGGCGAGAAGAACTGCCTCCACTTGCAAAAAAAATCAAGAGCAAATATCAAAGCATGCAACAAAAATCAGGCGACAAAGGTGAAAAAGAAAATAAATCTACAGCAGCATGGTCCAATTATATTCAGAGATTCTTTATTGTCATTTGCACCACATGGGTGAAGCAAAATTATGTACACAGGGTCCCAGTTACATCCAACAATAAAATGTAAAAGAAAAACGGTAATAAGATCTAAGATATGAACTAAGAAAAACATCAGCTAAAACTATGCTAAGCACTAATGGCATAAAAACAATAAACACAATACGCCAAGCAGCAGCACGAACATTAGTCTGTGTGAGCAGATGAGCACGCATGAACACAGCAACATGAAACAGATCAGCAGCAACATGATGTGATTTTCACAGTGATTATTCTGGTTAGAGATTCATGAGTCTAACAGCCTCAGGGTAGAAGCTGTTCCTCAGTCTAGTGGTTCTACACTTAATGCTCCTTAACCTCCTTCCTGAGGGGAGTGGGGCAAAAAGTGTGTGTGCTGGGTGAGTGGGGTCCTTCATGATGCAGGTGGCCCTCTTCCTGCATCTGGAGGTGTAGATGTCTGTGATGGTGGGGAGACTGACTCCAACAGTCTTCTGTGCAGCCTTCACCACTCTCTGCAAAGCTTTTCTTTCTGCAGCTGTGCAGCCTCCATGCCACACGTTGATGCTGGAGCACAGGATGCTCTCCACTGCACACCTGTAGAAGGAGGTGAGGACTGAGCTTCCCAGACCAGCTCGTCAGCCGCCTGAGGAAGTAGAGTCTCTGATGAGCTTTCTTGATTAGACTGGTGGTGTTGTTGCTCCAGCTGAGGTTGTCATTCAGGTGCACACCCAAGTACTTGTAGCTGGAGACCACTTCCATTACAGATCCTCCTATATTGGGGGTGGGGGGTGTTTGGTGTGTTTGTTCCATATGAAATCCACAACCATCTCCTTCGTCTTCTTAACATTAATGCCAAGGTTGTTCTTCCTGCACCAGCTCTCCAAGTGTTCCACCTCTTGCCTGTAGCTGGACTCATTGTTTGTGATGCATCCAACCACCACTGTATCATCTGCAAACTTTACAATAGGACAGCCTGGATGGGTAGGTGTCAGTCATATGTGAGCAGAGTGAACAGGAGGGGGTTCAACAAACAGCCTGAGGGGAGCCAGTGCTGAGGGTTATGGTGGAGGAGGAGATGTTGTGGATCCTCATAGAGACACAGACTGTGGTCGTTTGATAAAAAGTCTAGGACCCAGTTGCATTGGGAGGGGCTTAGTCCTAGTGTGATTAGTTTGCCCATCAGGGTCTGGGGGGTCATGGTGTTGAAGGCAGATGTGAAGTACACAAAAAACATGAGAATGTTGGAGTCCTTCTGCGCCAGGTGGATGAGAGCAGTGTGGACCGCAAAGGAGACTGTGATCCATTCATAGCCAATCATTATCTTCCAAATTGGTCCAAAGACAGGTCATGGGGGTAGCAGCTTTAGCAGGGAGGCCCAGACATCTCTTTGCACAGCCACCTCTTCCAGCTCTTCTAGAAGAACTCCAAGAAATTCAGTCCAACCGAGAGACATGGTCTATCCAGCATGTCCTCGGTCTTCCCCATGGTCCACTCCCAGTCGGACATGCCTGAAGCACCTCCCTAGGGAGGCGCCCAGGGAGCATCCTGAAACGTAAACTTAAAGTGTATTTATTTATTAGCACCTTCCAACAATGCCTTTCATTGAATGAAGTGCTTTACAAGATAAAACACATAAAAACTGGGCGCAATAAATCAGTGCAGATTAAAAACACAGCCACAACAAAATAAGGTAAAAAAAGATTTAAAAACAACCGTAAGTTAAACATCAAAAGCCCTTTTAAATAAATAGGTCTTCAATTTGGCTTGGAACAACACTAGATCAGAGATGGAACGCAACTCATGAGGAAGAGTATTAGGACCAGTCCCCCCACCCCGCCCATTATTTGCACCTTGAGCGAGGAACCTCCATTAGATATTGACCGGCAGACCGTGAAGCTCTGCTGGGTTGGTGGATTTTCAAAAGTTCTGAAATATAGGGTCATGCAAGGCTATTCAATGCTTTAAAAACAAACAGCAACAGCTTGAACTGTATCCTAAACTGAACCGGGAGCCAGTGCAAAGATGAAAAGACAGGAGTGATGTGTTCATATTTACATGTGTTAGTCAACAAGCGAGCAGCAGAGTTTTGTACATGTGGTAAATAGGAGATAAAAGAATGGTTAATACTGACATAATACAATTATATTTCATTTAAATAATCAAACCTAGAGTTCACAAAGGCATGGATGGCCTTCTCCGGATCACTACGGCTAAGGAAAAGATGAAGATGAATGTTGTCTTTTCATCTACAGGTGAAAAGACAAATTATGGCATTGTTACCAGACGCCTGAACCACCTCACCTGGCTCTTCTCAATGTGGAGCAGCAGTTCTCCAAGTCCATCCCGCATATTTCAGTCTCACCCTATCTCTAAAGGGAAAATCCAGCTACCCTGCGGAGAAAACTCATTTCAACTGTATGTATCTATGATCTCATTATTTCCATCACTACACAAAGGTCATGATCATAGGTGAGGGTAGGAACGTAGGTCGACCGGTAAACGGGTAGTTTTGCCTTACAGTTCAGCTCCTTTTTCACCACAATGGACCAGTACAGAGTCCACAATACTGCAGACGCTGCACCAATCCATCTGTCAATCTCACGCTCCATTCTTCCCTCACTCGTGAACAAAACCCAGAGATATTTGAACTCCTCCACTTGAG